CGACAAAGAAAATGTTAGGTGTTCTAATAATTTTTGTAGCTAGACCTTCAAAGAAAAATGTTTTTTTTTTTAATTTTTTTAAATTTTTTTGCATGTCTTCCAAATAAGAATTTTTCAAGAATTTTGAGTTTTATTTCAGACCTAGAATGTTCCGGGATATTTAAACCTATATATTTTAAAGAATTTTCCCAGGTGGCCTCTAAACTTTTTTGAAAAAATGCAAGGCCACTAAAACTAGACTTAAAAAAAAAACAAAGGTCTTCAAACGTGAATTTTTGAGAAGTTTTTTTTTAATTATCCCAATCCTACAATCTCGAATTTTTAAGAATTTTACAAAATCTCAAAAATGAAATTATTTTTTATTTGAATTTTCCTAGTTTTCTAAAGAATCATACAAGGCTCCAAAAGTGAAGTCCTGTAAACATTTTCCGAAGCCTATTTCATAAAGAGTGAATTTTTCAAAAAAAAAATTCTAGATTTTTAGAAGTTTTCTGAGACTTCAAATGTGGATTTTGTAGGATTTTCCAACAACAACAACAGTTCCAATCGTGAATTCTGGATAATTTTCTTGGGCCTTCAAGCCAATTTTTTTTAAAAAAATTCTGAAGGAATTTTACAACAAAATCTTAAAATTAAGAAAATCAAAAAATTTCAAAGGGCTACAGGTGTAGATTTAAAAAAAGTCTCCAAATGTGAATTTTTGAAGAATATGTCTTAAGGTCTCTAAAAGCCATTAAAAAAAATATCTGAAGTCTCCAAACGTTTCATTTTTTGAAGAATGTTTTATATTTTCTAAACTATTTCTTAAGAATTTTCCCAGGCCTACAATTGTAGATTTTCAAAACTGTTTCCAAATATGGGTTTCTTTAAAGAATTTTCATAAGAGGTCTCCAAAAGTGAGTTTAAAAAAATCCAATGTCTCCAAAAGTGGGTTTTAAAAAAAAAAAATTTCGTGGTCTCCAAATGTGAATTTTCAAAAAAATATTTCTGATGCCTCAAAAAGCGATATTAAAAAATCGCTCCAAACGAGAATTTTTTTAAAGAATTTTCAGAGGTCTCCAGAAGTAGATATTTAAGAGATTGTTTGAGGTTTAAAAAAGTGGATTTTAAAAAGAGTTTTTCGCTTAAATTGCTTAAAATGTTCCATATTTTCTAAACTAAATTTTTAAGAATTTTACCAGGCCTTCAATTGTAGATTTTCAAAAATGTTTCCAAATATGGATTTCTTAAAGAATTTTTCAAAGAGGTCTCCAAAAGTGAGTTTGAAAAAATCCGAGGTCTCCAAAAGTGATTCTTTAATTTTTTTTTGTGGTCTCCAAACGTGATTTTTTTAATGAATCTTTCTGAGTCCTCCAAAAGTGATACTAGAAAAATCCCAGGCCTCCAAGCGAGAATTTTTTTAAAGAATTTTAAGAGGTCTTCAGAAGTAGATATTTAAGAGATTTGTTGAGGTTTAAAAAAGTGGATTTTAAAAAGATGTTCTTGATTAAAAACGGCAAATTTAAATTTAAAAGGTCCCCAAATGTAGATTTTTTAGAGAATTTTTTCCAAGGAGATCCCCATAAGTTTACGAGGTCTCCAAAAGTGGATTATTAAAAGTGATTTTTTAAAAAATTTTTTCGAGGTCTCAAAACTTACATTTTTTAGGGAATCTTTCTCAGGTCTCAAAAATGATGTTTTTGAATAATTTTCTACGTCTCCAAGGTTGGATTTTTTAAAGAATTTTTCAGAGGTCTCCTGAACTAGATTTTTGAAGTTCTAGAAACGTGGATTTAAAAAAGATTTTTTGCAAAAAGTCTGCAAATTTAGATTTAAAAAGTCCCCAAAAATAGATTTTTTAAGAATTTTTCTAAGGAGATCCTCATAAAATGTTTATAAAAAAAAAGATTTCTAAGGTCTCCAAAAGTGAGTTTTTAAAATATTTTTTAAGGTCTCTAAAATCTCAAAAATTAATGTTTTACAAGATTTTCCTACTGTCTCCTGGGATGGATTTTTTTTGAGTTTTTTTCAGAGATCTCCAAAAGTGGATTTTGAAAGAGATTTTTCGAGGTCTAAAAACGTGGACTTTAAAAAGATTTTAGCGAATTTTTGATGAAACAAATCCTAGTTCTCCAAAGTCTCCAAAAGATAATTTTTAAAAATATTCCAAGGTAAATTTAAAAAAATCCAAGTGGATTTTTTACAAACATATTTTTTTTTAAAGTATCAACAGACGTATATTTTTTAAAAAATATTTTTTCAAAGTATCAACAGACGTGGACTTTTTAGAAAATATTTTGTCAAAGTATCAACAAATGTGGATTTCATAAATATATATATATATTTTTTTGTTAATAACAAACGTGGATTTTTTTAAAAAATATTTCTTCAAATTATCACAGACGTGCATTTTTAAAAAAAAAAAACATTTTTTCGACGTGGATTTTTAAAAAAATATATTTTTTTTCGAATTATCAACAGACCTGGATTTTTTAAAAAATATATATTTTTTTCGTATAATGAACAGACGTTGATTTTTCAAAAAATATTTTTTTCGAATAATGAACAGACGTGGATTTTTTAAAAAATATTTGTTTGAATTATCAACAGACGTGGATTTTTTAAAAAAATATTTTTTTTTGAATTATCAACAGACGTGGATTTTTTTAAAAATATTTTTTGAATTATCAACAGACGTGGACTTTTAAAAAAAAAAAAATTTTAAAGTATCAGCAGACTTGGATTTTTTTAAAAATATTTTTTTAAATTATCAACAGACGTGGATTTCTTTAAAAATATTTGTTTGAATTATCAACAGACGTGGATTTCTTAAAAAAATATTTTTTCGAATTGTCAACAGACGTAGGGATTTTTCAAAAAATTATTTTTTCGAATTACCAACAGACGTGGATTTTTTAGAAAATTATTTTTTCAAAGTATCAACATACGTGGATTTTTTAAAAATATTTTTTCAAAGTATCAACAGACTTGGATTTTTTAAAAATATATTTTTTCAACGTATCAACAGCCGTGGATCTTTTAAAAAATATTTTTTCAATGTATCAACAGACGTGGATTTTTTAAAAATATTTTTTTAAAGTATCGACAGACCTGGATTTTTTTAAAAAATATTTTTTTTAAAGTATCGACAGGCGTGTATTTTTTAAAAAATATTTTTTTGAATTATCAACAGACGTGGATTTTTTAAAAATTATTTTTTCCACATTTTAACAGACGTGGATTTTTTAAAAAATATTTTTTTGAATTATCAACAGACGTGGATTTTTTAAAAAATATTTTTTTGAATTATTAACAAACTTGGACTTTTTATTTTTTTCTCGGACTATCAACAGACTTGGACTTTTTAAATTTTTTTCGAATTATTAACAGACTTGGACTTTTTAATTTTTTTTTCGGAAAATCAACAGACATGTTTTTTTTTAAATTTAAAAAAATATTTTTTTCAAAAAAAAAACAATCATAGATTTTTCAAAAAATATTTTTTAATAAATACATTTTTTTAAAAAATCCATCATCTTTTGACCGCTTGAAAAAAATATTTTTTTCAAAAAAAAAAACAGTCATGGATTTTTCAAAAAATATTTTTTTCAAGCTATCATAATACATGGATTTTTAAAAAAAATATTTGTTCAAGCGGTCAAAAGATGATGGATTTTTTAAAAAAATATATTTTTGCGATATATCAACAAAAGTGGATTTTTTAAAGAATATTTTTTTAAGATATTAACAGTCAAGATATTAACAGCCGTGAATTTTTTAATTTTTTTTTTTTCAAAATATCAACATTGAGTTTTCAAAAAAAAAAAATAAGCTATCAACGAACGTGAATTTTTTAAAAAATATTTTTTCGAAATATCGGCAGACGTTTATTTGTAGAAAATATTTTTTCCTAAATATCAACAGACGTGGATTTTTTAAAAAATATTTTTTCAAGCCATCTACAGCCGTGGTTATTTTTAAAATATTTTGTCAACATATCAACATTTGTTCATTTTTAAAAAAAAAAATATTTTTTTCGAATTATCAATATTCGTGAACTTTTAAAAAAATATTTTTTCAAAATATCAACAGATGTGGATTTTTAAAAAATATATATATTTTTTCGATAAATCAATGAAAAAAATACTTTTTCGAAATATCAACGAACGTGGATTTTTTAAAAAATACTTTTTCACAGCAACAAACACAATTATATATTTTTTTTCTTAAAAAAGTTTTATTAATTTAAAAAATATTTGATTTCAAATATTTTCTCGCCATATTTTTTGTTGTCAAAAAAAAACAAACAAAAATTGAAAATTATTTTCATATTCAACATGTGGTCGCATAGATCATCGTTGTTGGCACAATGTTTCAATATTGTTATGAGTGTATTTTTTTTTAATTATTATTTTTTTCTTTGATTTTGAAAATATGCCAACTGCAGGCCAGCAATGAATGAATCGATCGATGCCCATTGCCAAAGAAAGAGAAAACCAAAATTGTTCTCAAACTAATCCAAACATTGTTATGAACAAATGATCATTTTCCGAGATTTCTCTGTTGACACCCAAGTGCTGTGCGGTGAGGGTGGGTGTGGGTGGGTGACTTAATGTGTATGCAAGTGTGTGGCTATATGCGTATCACACACACACTGCTGCATTTAAATTCATTTCGTTTAAAAATAAATGTACACAAAAACAAAAATTGATGAAAAATGTTTTTATAGAGAGCGAGAAAATAAAACAAAACACCAGAGGGGACACACTCCCACACAGGTTTGGGTTTTCCACATCTTTGGTGCAGCAAGCGAGAAATTCCGGTGTCATGTTAAAAATTTTGTTTTTTGTTTTTAAATTTTCAAATTCAAAACACTTTTCAGAAATTTCTTTGTTATATATTTATATATATTTTATTTGAGGTTCTTTTTATTATTTTTTTTTTCTTGAATTTTTTTCAATATTTTTTTTTTTTAATTTTGATATATTTCAAGTTTTAATACACAATTTTCTTTCAATTACATTTTTTTTATTTGGCATTATTTTATTTATGTTCGCTGCCGCGGTTCACTTAGTTTTCTTAAAAATTTGTTTGAAAAAATCCAAAACCGAAACGCAAGTGATTTGTATATTTTCTTGTTATTTATAGCTCAACGCCAGCCATTTAGTCTCGTTCTCGTTGATGGTTGGTGTGAAACTAAAGAAATATTTCAAAATTTGTGATCACTGCCTAAAAGCTGGGAGTTGCCAGATATATTGAAAAAAATTAATTACAAATTTTTAAATTGAAAATATTAAAAAAAAAATAAAATTAAATTAAAAAAAAAATATTATTCAAAAATTTGCCTCTTTTGTGGGGGAGGTACCAGAAGGAGTGAACCAATAAATCCCATCTTTACACCAGATTTTGTGTTGCTATAAATATTGGGATCTACCAAGTTTGAAGAGAATCGGATGTCTATTTCGCATTTTATGAGACTTATAATTATTCAAAATTCCGACCCCTATGTGGGGGAGGTACCAGAAGGGTTTGTCCAATATTTCCCATCTTTACACCAGATTTTGTGTTGCTATAAATATTGGGATGTGTGAAATTTGAAGAGAACTGGATGCTCATTTCGCATTTTATGAGTGTTATAATTATTCAAAATTCCGACACCTTTGTGGGGGAGGTACCAGAAGGAATGGACTGACATATTCCATCTTCACACCAGATATTTTGTTATTAAAAATATTGTGATGTGTGTAATTTGAAGACAATCGGATGCTAATTTCGCTTTTTATGAGACTTGTAATTATTCAAAATTCCGACCCCTTTTTGGGGGAGGTACCAGAAGGGGTTGTCCAATATATCCAATATTTACACCAGATTTTGTGTTGATAGAAATATTTGGATGTGCCAAGTTTGAAGAGAATCAGATGCCTATTTCTTATTTTATGAGAGTTATAATTATTCAAAATTCCGACCCCTTTGTGGGGAAGGTACCTGAAGGAGTGGGCTGATATATACCATCTTTACAACGGATCTTGTGTTGCTAGAAATATTATGAAATGGGGAATTTGAAAATAATCGCATACTTATTTCGCATTTTATGAGAGTTATAATTATTCAAAAGTCCGACCTCTTTGTGGGGTAGGTACCAGAAGGGGTTGGCCAATATATCCCATCTTTACACCAGATTTTGTGTTGCTAGAAATATTGGGATGTACCAAGTTTGAAGAGAATAGGATGCCTATTTCGTATTTTATGAGAGTTATAATTATTCAAAATTCCGACCCCTATGTGGGGGAGGTACCAGAAGGAGTAAACCGATATCTATCATCTTCACAACAGATCTTGTATTGCTAGAAACATTGGGATGTGTGAAATTTCAAGTGAATCGGATGCCTATTTCACATTTTATGAGAGTTATAATTATTCAAAATTCCGACGCCTTTGTGGGGGAGGTACTAGAAGGGTTTGTCCAATATTTCCCATCTTTACACCAGATTTTATGTTGATAGAAATATTGAGATGCGCCAAGTTTGAAGAGAATCCTATGCTTATTTCGCATTTTATGAGAGTTTTAATTATTCAAAATTTTGACCCCTTTGTGGGGGAGGTACCAGAAGGAGTGGACCGATATCTACCATATTCACAACATATCTTATGTTGCTAGAAATATTGAGATATGTGAAGTTTGAAAGGAATCGGATATTTATTTCGCATTTTATGAGACTTGTAATTATTCAAAATTCCGACCGCTTTGTGGGGGAGATACCAGAAGAAGTGGAAATAAAGCCAAAATTCCAAAAATACCGAATATTGTGAGGTACCCTTACATGGGGGCTATACCAAAATGTGGCCCTTCATGGAAAATTTTTTGCTATAGGAAGCAATACCCATGGGGAACTCCAAATTTCAAATTTGATATAATTCCGATGAAAATTAGAGCCAAAATCCCAAAAATACCGAATATAGGGAGGTACCGTTACATGGGGGCCTTACGAAAATGCGGACCGGCATAAGCAATTTTCTGTCTTTGGAGTTGGTAGCCATTACGAACTCAAAATACCAAATTTGATGCAATTCCGGTGAAAAATGTGACAGAAATCGGCAAAATACAGAATATGGGGAGGGGGTACAGTTATGTGGGGGACTATACCTAAACTTGGGTTTATATGACCTGTTCTTGGCAAGGATGTTTCCTTTATAAGGGGAACTCAAAGTGCCGATTTACAGAAATTTTTTTTAAACAAATATGACTTAGTATGCCGAAAGAGCTTAAAATCTGGCGGTACGTTGATATGGGGGCTATATCAAAATGTGGACCTATCTGACCCATTTTCAAAATATTCTCATTTTTTTTTCAAATTTTTTTAAGAAATATGAAAAAAAAATATGATAAAGTTATATGGGGGGCTATATCAAAATGTGGACCTACGTGACCCATTTTTAAAAGAATTCTCATTTTTTTTTTCAAAATATTTTTTAAAATTTATTCATCAACGAAATTTTTTTCATAACTTTTCCCATTATGCAATTTCTCCCCAGAACCCCCTCCCCCCTTCCTCAACTCTTAATATTGACTTTTTTTTATTTAGTTCTCAAATAAACCTCAATCCTGCCACATGTATCCAAGAGCAGGTGTAAACTAAACCGAACTCTTTATAATTTAAATACTTTGTAAATAACAAATTTCCAGTTTAGATTTTTGGAAACATGTATTCAAATAAATTACAAAGGCATATGGGGCTTGGGAGGGGGGAGGAAGGTGGAATGGTCTTTTTCTTTTTGGTGAGCCAACAATAAAACATTTTCAGTACATACAAGGATACACATATCCTTGCCGCCCCAAAAAAATACTGAAGTGAGATTTATTTCGCAACCATAAATTACAGGAATTTAAAAAAATTGGGGATGAAAACTTTTCCAAATAAAAATGAAAGGTAAATCGAAGCGAAGTTTGGGGCACAGAAAATATGCCCTTGTTCTAATTTCCAACTTCCCCTATACCCTCCCTCCTTAATAAACTGCCACTATTATATCTCAATACTCAAGCATAAGTTTATTTACGTTGTTGTTGCTGTTGTTTTGTCAATAATCAACTACTACTGCATCATGCAAATATTATCCTTGCTGGCTTCCTAAGGACTCTGGAACAAACTTCAACTTACTGGCATGGCAAAAATTGTGGAATAAATCGAGCCAACTTCTAAACTAAATAAACACAATCAAATAAAGTCAAAAATTGATAAAGCCACCATCCATCCGTACGGTGTATGTGTGCCTTGCACACACATACATACACACACTCGCACATACATATATAAATAATGTACGGAGATTTGAAAATATGCACATATGCATGCTTGTGCCATATGCATAGATTTCTGGGGGGTAACAATTTTAAGGATAAACACACATTTTTTGTTGGAATATTTTGTACAAGGAGCAAAGGATTAGCAAAAAAATGAGGACGAAAAAAGAGAGGATTTTTAAAAAAAAAAATATATATATATTATTCAAGTGTATTTTTTAAAAAATTATTTTTTTTCAAATACCAACGGACTTAAATTTTTTAAAATTTATTTTTTCCAAATTTTATTAGACGTGGATTTTTTAAAAATTATTTTTTCCAATTATCAACAGACGTAGACTTTTAAAAATATTTTTTTTTTCAATTATCCACAGACGTGGATTTTTTAAAAATTATTTTTTCCCAATACCAACAGGCGTGGATTTTTTAAAAATTATTTTTTCCCAATACCAACAGGCGTGGATTTTTTAAAAATTATTTTTTCCCAATTATCCACAGACGTGGATTTTTTAAAAATTATTTTTTCCCAATTATCCACAGACGGGGATTTTTTAAAAATTATTTTTTCCAAATACCAACAGGCGTGGATTTTTTAAAAATTATTTTTTCCCAATACCAACAGGCGTGGATTTTTTAAAAATTATTTCTCCCAATACCAACAGGCGTGGATTTTTTAAAAATTATTTTTTCCCAATACCAATCGTCGTGGATCTTTTAAAAATTATTTTTTCAAAGTACCAATTGACGTAGATTTTTTAAAAATTATTTTTTCAAAGTACCAATTGACGTGGATTTTTTTTAAATTATTTTTTCAAAGTACCAATTGACGTGGATTTTTTAAAAATTATTTTTTCCGAAATACCAATAGACGTGGATTTTTTAAAAATTATTTTTTCAAAGTACCAATTGACGTGGATTTTTTAAAAATTATTTTTTCCAAATATTATTAGACGTCGATTTTTTAAAAATTATTTTTTCCCAATGCCAACAGGCGTGGATTTTTTAAAAATTATTTTTTCCCAATACCAACAGGCGTGGATTTTTTAAAAATTATTTTTTCCCAATACCAACAGGCGTGGATTTTTTAAAAATTATTTTTTCCCAATACCAACAGGCGTGGATTTTTTAAAAATTATTTTTTCCCAATACCAACAGGCGTGGATTTTTTAAAAATTATTTTTTCCCAATACCAACAGGCGTGGATTTTTTAAAAATTATTTTTTCCCAATACCAACAGGCGTGGATTTTTTAAAAATTATTTTTTCCCAATACCAACTGGCGTGGATTTTTTAAAAATTATTTTTTCCCAATACCAACAGGCGTGGATATTTTAAAAATTATTTTTTCCCAATACCAACAGGCGTGGATTTTTTAAAAATTATTTTTTCCCAATACCAACAGGCGTGGATTTTTTAAAAATTATTTTTTCCCAATACCAACAGGCGTGGATTTTTTAAAAATTATTTTTTCCCAATTCCAATCGAAGTGGATTTTTTAAAAATTATTTTTCCCCAATACCAATAGACGTGGATGTTTTAAAAATTATTTCTCCCCAATATCAATAGACGTGGATTTTTTAAACATTATTTTTTCACAATACCAATAGACGTGGATTTTTTAAAAATTATTTTTTCCCAATACCAATAGACGTGGATTTTTTAAAAATTATTTTTTCAAAGTAGCAACAGACGTGGATTTTTTAAAAATTATTTTTCAAAGTACCAATTGACGTGAATTTTTTAAAAATTATTTTTTCCCAATACCAATAGGCGTGGATTTTTTAAAAATTATTTATTTTCCAATTCCAATAGTCGTGGATATTTTAAAAATTATTTTTTCCCAATACCAACAGGCGTGGATTTTTTAAAAATTATTTTTTCCCAATA